TCACGCTCATGCAAAGAAAATGTAAGCGTTTCGATGGTTATTCTTGGGAAGGGTATGAAAGCGACGGGCAAGAACACACACTTGCAGTCTCTGGAAACATGTGTGAGCATTTGTGGCCTGTGTGCGTAACTCTTGCTGCCTGAGCAAATTGTAATGCCCAAAATTTACCGTTGATTGGCTTTTGAGTGAGCACATACATTTGCATACATATGTGTATGAATGTATGAGATGGGATAATAATTGTCTGGCGATTCAGTAGTTTGTCAATTTTGTATGGTTTGAATTGTAGAGTGACTGTCAAATGAGCCTTTATGACTTAATCAGTAATTTCGACATGCGTATTTCATTCCCACTTGAAGTTTTTATAGTCCACTACCCCGATATATATATATATATATATATATATAAGGGTTAAGGTTAAGGGTGAATATATATAACAACTTTGTGTTCAATGATATAATATATTTTATATAATTTGGAACAATAGGTCTAAACTCTCTCTAGTCCGAATATAAACTGAACTAAATCTGTTCTACTGGTTAGGTTCTCCCCTTGAATGTCTGACTGGACTCTCCAGCCTCCTTAGATTGTCGAAAGTCTTAACTCTTCCCCACCTAAATATCTGCGTCACGCAGATCAGGGTGCATATGTCCATTGTAATGATATTCATCCAATATAAATTGTCCAATATAATGATATTTATCCAATATAAATTGCCCAATATATTGAAATTTATCCAATATAAATTTATTATCCATAGTCGATAGTTCCAGAGTTCATAAATTAGCAGAAAAAGGGCCATTGATATCCACCTTCAAGTTAATTCAAAGCATTCATAGTTCCATACATTTAGTATTCATTTGTGGTTATGACAATACATCCAACATTATAAGCGCATTTATTTCATTCCCTCTGGCATTTCGGAAATCCCTATTACCATGAATGATCGAAACTAGGAAGGATATACTACGTGTAAAATGCTGTGGATGCTATGGGTGCTAAGGAAGTTAAGGAAGTTAAAAGAGGATTATTACAATTTAATTAATTAAAATGTGCATTTCCCCTTTTTTTTCCTATTTTCTTACTAGTACTCTAGTGTGGGAGCGCTTAACTGCGCCCGAGCAGGGACCCACATTCTTCACGGAAGTAAAGGGAAATGGTGACGTGTCAATAATTCTATAAAAATAACTTATTAAAAAAGCAAGTACAAATAAATTGTTCCAATCCAATTGGGCAATTGTTGACAAAATTACGAAGTACTTCTTTGATTTGCAAAGTAATGGGGTGAAAGTCCTTGCCATAACATAATACAATAAATAATAACATCATTTCTAGCAAGTGTTCGTGCACTAGACAATTCTATAACATAAAAGAAATCGTGGCTAAATGGTGGTATTGGCAAACCTAGGGAGACGAAAATACAAGAAATTTGCAGGCATGATGGTGGTACGAGATTGATTGTCGTATCGAGGTTCAAATCCTTGCCGTAAGACAAATGTCATAAAAAATAAACGTCACAATTTCCACCTGTGTTGAATGATGGGTTTCCGTATAAATTAAAAGGAACCTAGTGGTCAAAGTTAAGTTTAAAGCACTAACTATATAAAATAATATATATATAATAATAATAATAATATATATATAATAAAAAGATTTGCAAAAGACGAAATAAAGGAAAACCGAAATGTGACAATAAAAAAAAATAAAAAAACTGGAAAAATTCTTCATAAATTACACTTACGAAAATAGAAAAAAAAGGGAAAATGCACATTTTAATTAATTAAATTGTAATAATCCTCTTTTAACTTCCTTAACTTCCTTAGCACCCATAGCATCCACAGCATTTTACACGTAGTATATCTTTCCTAGTTTCGATCATTCATGGTAATAGGGATTTCCGATATTCCGATTATATTGGATGAATATCATTATAATGGACATATGCACCCTGATCTGCGGGACGCAGATATTCAGGTGGGGAAGAGTTAAGACTTTCGACAATCTAAGGAGGCTGGAGAGTCCAGTCAGACATTCAAGGGGAGAACCTAACCAGTAGAACAGATTTAGTTCAGTTTATATTCGGACTAGAGAGAGTTTAGACCTATTGCTCCAAATTATATAAAATATATTATATCATTGAACACAAAGTTGTTATATATTCTCCCTTAACCTTAACCCTTATATATATATATATATATATATATCGGGGTAGTGGACTATAAAAACTTCAAGTGGGAATGAAATACGCATGTCGAAATTACTGATTAAGTCATAAAGGCTCATTTGACAGTCACTCTACAATTCAAACCATACAAAATTGACAAACTACTGAATCGCCAGACAATTATTATCCCATCTCATACATTCATACACATATGTATGCAAATGTATGTGCTCATTCAAAAGCCAATCAACGGTAAATTTTGGGCATTACAATTTGCTCAGGCAGCAAGAGTTACGCACACAGGCCACAAATGCTCACACATGTTTCCAGAGACTGCAAGTGTGTGTTCTTGCCCGTCGCGAAATCATATTCTTTATGCGTATCAACGCTTTCATACCCTTCCCAAGAATAACCATCGAAACGCTTACATTTTCTTTGCATGAGCGTGACAAACGCTTTTATGATTTCGGTATACCCTTCACTCAAAAGGAAAGACCTGGGATCGTCGCGAACAATTTTCAATTTCTGTGCGCTGCTGCTATTTGAGAGACCATAGAGAGAGATAGAGTGAGAGAGAGTAGTACAAATAGCGCATAGCCGTGCTTCATATAAGAATGGCACTATTTCGTTTGAGCGCTTGCAGCACACTGATTTTGTCGTGCAATATTTTCATTGCTTGAGCCTTGAGAGACTGAGCCGAGCAAATACGAAGTTGTGTAGTCTCCTCAGCGCATTTTTTCGGTGTTGAAAAAGTTGGCTCTACATGTCTAGTCTATGTGTTCTCTGGTTAGTGGTAAAACTAAATACTTAAAAAATAGTCTTATAAACTAACAAAAATTTAGTTTTTGGTATATTTAATATTTTGTAGGGTAATCTTTATTCTTTATAACCTCTTTTAGTCGGTTCAGCATTGAAAGAACTAACTTTTCTTTGTAATTCTTATCATTTAAAACTTCTATAAGCTTAGGTTTTTGACGATATATGATGCTTCCTGATATTTTTTCTAATATATTCCAACAATTCTCTATTGGATCAAAATCAGGACTTTTTAAAAAATGTGGCGTATTATAAGCCAAGTGTTTGTATTATGAGCCATGTGTTTAGGGTCATTGTCTTGTTGGAAATAATAAGAAGACCTCGATAATCCTAGCTTGGCAACACTTGGCTCCAAACTTTTTTTTTAATTTAAATATATTTAAGGTGGTCCATCACCCCATCAATTATTTCAAAATTTCCGACACCAGCAGCAGCCATACAGCCCCATACCATGACGCCACAACCATGCTTCACTGTCTTGAGTAAGTGGAGTGCCTCTCCGGTTCTTCTCCACACGCGAAGTGGCCCATCCGATCCAAATACCTCAACAGAGAAAAGTACATTACGCCAGAACTCGATTGACGCGTTTTTGTATAGTTTTGCGAACTTCAAACGTTTTTGATTCTTGTTAATGTGGCAGGGGATAGGGGAAGGGGTAAATGGCTCAAGCCATCACTCAAATGTACCTTTCCGGAGAACCGCTGGACTTTTTGCTCCTCTCGTCGGGGATCCTCTCGACTCTCTCTCGCTTGCTGCCCCTCCTCGCTCCCTGTCGGCCACTTATTAATTTTCACTTAAACTAGACTTTAAACGCTAACTTTCACTCAAACTAAACTTTAGAGCACTTCCGCTCTTCTCGGCGGTCATTACTTGACTATCTGCTCTTTCGCCTCTGACCCACACTCAAAGCGCTCGGCGTCGGCAGCGCAGCTCTCCGCGAACTCTCCACGCAGGGTTGCGCCGCAGATCGCCGATAATTCCTTCGCGTCCTTTAAACTACAAATAAACGTTTTGAGTTCAACTTATGCCTAAACAATCTTAATTCTACTTAATTCTACAAGCTTTTACCATTACTAATATCTATGACTTAATGCTAATGCTTATTCTAACTTAACTAACTAACGTCTATTCTAACTTTTCCGCCTCATTAGGGGCATGGTGTTCATGCACATGCATGAACATAGAAATATGATAAGTATGGGAACATATGAGTATACGAAGATCGTATACATGCCTCCGACGCACTCAACGACTAGCAGATAGTGCGCTGGGAAAAGATAAGGGTCACATGTACGGACTGTATAAATAGACAAATGGACACCAACCCTTGCAACCCCAGAATCAGATATGTAAGAGACGAACGCTGAGCCTTACAACCTCAGCGATAGGATAAGAATAGATAATAGAACCACGCGGAGCCTTACAAACTCTGCGATAAGATAAGAACATGCAATAGACCAATGCTGAGCCTTACACACTCAGCAATAGACGCACTAGATTTAAGGGTTGAAATTATGCATGAGTCTGGGTATATAAACCCAGGCTCAGAAGAATAAAGATCAATACAAAACTAAACACCATCATAGTAAAGTGTATTCGTTCATGGTCCTTCGAGCCGGATCACAAGTCTACCAAATACCAAATGTTGTGACAGTTGTATATTAAATTAAAAAAAGTGGTTTCTTCTTTGGCTTACCAATCCACGCTGTGAGTAGAGGCACAGCAAGATCAACAAGGCGATCAAAACAAAAACACCTCCAACGGGTTAAGCCAAAAAGAAGATCAATCACAAATAAACAAAAACTACAACAACCGCAACAAAATGCTGTCAGGAAAGGCTATTGATATGCTACAAAAGCAATCAGACCTGTATGACAGAACTATAAAGGCCATAGCTAATAAGGATGCGTTAGAAGTCGTGGATAAGTTGGCAGAAGAATTCACTGCCAGCCACTCTACACTGACTAAAATCTGTACCCCAAACCATATATATTTTACTGAGAAAATATATGATGGATTAATGGAAAAAGTCAGGATCTACAAGGAGGCCCTGATAAAGGTCGAAGCTACCGACCTCGATATAGATACCGACAAACCATCCACTAGCAAGAATTGGCATATACAAACTGAGGTATCCAGGAAACAGCAAACTCAAAAGGAAGTACTGTTTTCACGAAGTGGTTCAACCTCAATGGACTATCTGGTAGAACTTGTGAGTAAAAGAGCTCTAGTGTTAAAGCGGCACATTGAAGAGGTGCATGCCAATCTAGAGCTCAGCAACCAGGAGGAAACTCTAGATAGCAAAGAAACACTAGAGTTCCTCTGGAATAAAGTCCAGTCTACGCTTACCGATTTGGAGGTAAAATATGATATACCTTCCCATGAAATCGACGGCATAGACGCATTGGAGCTTAAAGTCCATACATTGTCGAAGAAACTTAACAGGAAGTTAAGTGTCTTTCACAGTATGAAAGAAGACGTTCCAGAGATGCCAAAATCGGATCTTCCTCAATTTAATGGAAGTCCCAAAGAATGGCCAACGTTCTTCAACTTGTTCTCCGACATGGTTCACAAAAGGAAGGATATCAGCGACACAAGGAAGCTGAATTACCTGAAATCATGCCTCAAAGGAGATGCCCAAATGGTAGTGAGCCATTTGTTAAGTGGATCAGCTGCTAGCTACAATTCGGCGTGGGAACTTATATGTAAGCGCTATGAAAATAAGCGGAAGATATTCGCAAACGCCGTTAACCAGCTAGTGGACCTGGAACTGCTGGAAAACAATGATGAAAGCAGGATCCGCCAATTCTTGGATACAGCAAATGAGAATATTCACATCGTTAAAGAAGTAGCCCAAATTGGTAACGATGTGGATGTACTAATCGCTCAAATTTTGCTACGAAGATTCTCGACGGAAGTCCTACAACTTTACGAGCAACATGTAAAGAGGGCCAGAGAAATTCAGTCCTTGAAAAATGTACTCGAGTTTATTGATCAACTATACAATTCAATAGACGCAGTACAGATAAGGGCCGTCCAGACGGTTATTGAAGCAAAGAGAACGAACTACAAAAGATGCCGTTTTTGCAACCTGGACAACCACGAAATTACCAGGTGTTTAAAATTTAAAGCAGAGCCAGTTAAAAAACGCAAGGAGTTTGTAACTAAAAGTGCTCTATGTTTTAAATGCCTAGGTGCCCATAGCCTGAAAGAGTGTCAAAAGGATTGGTCATGCAAGTATTGTACCAAATCACACAACAATCTGCTTCACGAGGATGCGAACGAAAACGAGACCATCAGCAGCAATTGTCTTAAAGAAAGCAACGGACAAGATACGTTGTTGGCAACTGCGCTTATTCGGATTAAAAACAAGTCCGGAAAATATGAGCAGCTAAGGGCCCTCATCGATGGAGGCTCGCAAAAGACATTGATATCTGAAGAGGCCGCTCAACGACTACAACTGCGCCGAATCAAGCGGAAATTGGGAGTACAAGGAATTTCACAGAATGTTGAAGTTCTAAAAAACAGCGTTTGCTTGACAATCAAACCAAGGATGACAAGCAAATTCGTCACCAGAACGGAGGCACTTGTTATGCCAAAACTGCAAAGAGCTCTACCGAGCAAGAAAATTGAAATGGACATCAATAAGGACTGGATGGGCTGCAAGCTGGCAGACCCACATTTCAATGAACCCAGCAGAATCGATGTTGTGATTGGCGTTGATTTACTCCACTCAATAATGTTGGGAAAAGTTAAAAAAGTCAACGGTATACTGGGGCAAAAAACTGAACTTGGATGGATTGTTTCGGGGAACATAGCTAGACCAGTAAACAACAAGGTGATCAGCGCAACAACGACAATGTGCCTGGATAACCTCGAACGCTTCTGGAAGCTGGAAAATAACTTAAGCTGTTCAAAAGAGAACAATAAATGGGATGGCCAAGGCCGGCTAGTAGTCTCCATACCATTTAAAAAAGACTTCGAGTCAGGAAAATCGCGCAAGCACGCTATGACACGATTACTGCATGTGGAGAACAAATTCAGAAAGCATCTACAAATATTCACGGAATATAAAGACTTCACTTGGCATGGGAACCGCCACCTGAGCAAAGGACCAAAGTAAGGTTCATCTGGATGTCACATTCTCTGGGCCCCGCAGAATGTTCAAGTACGAACATGAGACCTCAAGGATTGCAAGCATGGACATTTCGTCAAGATTATCAATAATTATCATATCTCTATTTCTCATGTACACAAGTAAGAGAAGAAACCAGGGACAGGAATTGTCAGCTATTACTTTCTCTGGCCCCCCGCAGAATGTTCATGCACATGCATGAACATAGAAATATGATAAGTATGGGAACATATGAGTATACGAAGATCGTATACATGCCTCCGACGCACTCAACGACTAGCAGATAGTGCGCTGGGAAAAGATAAGGGTCACATGTACGGACTGTATAAATAGACAAATGGACACCAACCCTTGCAACCCCAGAATCAGATATGTAAGAGACGAACGCTGAGCCTTACAACCTCAGCGATAGGATAAGAATAGATAATAGAACCACGCGGAGCCTTACAAACTCTGCGATAAGATAAGAACATGCAATAGACCAATGCTGAGCCTTACACACTCAGCAATAGACGCACTAGATTTAAGGGTTGAAATTATGCATGAGTCTGGGTATATAAACCCAGGCTCAGAAGAATAAAGATCAATACAAAACTAAACACCATCAAAGTAAAGTGTATTCGTTCACATGGCATATCGAAAAATACCCTATCATTTTCGCATTTTTTTAGCGTAAGCATTCAAATTTTGTAGTTAGTGTGCCGTTCTAAGAAATAACCAAAAATGAGGTGTCTACGCCCAGTAGGGGCGTGGCAAATCGGGAAAAACTGAATTTTCTACAGTATTAGAGCGAAACTTAACTACTAAATTGCTGATGGGATGTGAATGAGTATTCCGTAGTCGGTTATGCCTGACTGCAACGTTATTACTTGTTTTATTATTGAAATTATGTAATATAAGAAATGAAATTAGTTAATTATGAATTATGAACCACTTTGTATAGCATTTGTTGTTGTGAGCACGGGAATGCACTCTCATGACGATCGCTCTCTTGCTGTGCAAGCGGCGCTTGCGTTCTCTCAAATGAATACATCATGTAAATCAGTAAAAATTGAAACACTGGGTCCAACACTTCGCATTCTGATCCAGAGAAGCTCGCCAGTTGACTTTTTATACATTCTGTAAGGATCTAATTTTCAGCTTAGGTAGTGTCTGCCCAGAGTTGGAAATCGCAAGAAATTTGTGATTTGCCGGGACTGGAGTAAGGAGAGGGGGGGATTGTAGGAACACCACGTTCTCTATTTGCTCTTTATTCTTGAGCCGGGATGTGCCTCGGCGGGTTAAATCAAAAGGGAAGAGGGAGGAGAGATCAACTACGATGTTAGTTAATAACAAGTAAGAAGACTCTAGTTAAGACTGCTCGACTAGGAGATACCCTGAACCCTCTAATCTGATATACTAATCACTCTGCACTTTTTTTCGGCACACAGACATACACACGCACGTATAAACGCGCTCTGCTAACTGCGCAGTAAGCAGCGACTGCGCTTGGGCTACGCTGCAGTGTGGGCAACATTATAAGAATTTATTTGTTGAATAATTTAGTTCCTAGACTTACAATCTTAATGAAACTTTCAAAACGTAATCATATGGGGAAAATGTAGTCTCTAGTACTTGAAATACGCCTTTTACAAAGGTGATGGTGAAGGGGTGGAAATAGGAGGGGGTAAATTAAAAAAAAATCGAAATTATATAAAAAACATATAAGTCTACATTTAAAAGCTCTAGCTCTAAAGGTGTAGGAGATATAATTAAATAATTAGCTTTCGATAAGGTTTTTGATCGATAATAAAATATCGGAAGTAGTTATTGATATGCGCGAGATATACACGGACCTAGGAAAAAAATTTCGAGTCTCTAGCTCTTATATCTTCTGAGATCGACGCGTTCATACATACGGACGGACGGACAGACAGACGAACAGGGCCAAATCGACTTAGCTTGTCGCCCTGATCAAGAAAATATATACTTTGTGGGGTCTTCCACGCCTCCCTCTGCCTGTTACATACTTTTAACAAACCCATTATACCCTGATTTCCCATTTTCAATGGGTTCAGGGTATAATAATTGATGAAACACACAGGGGGAATCGCCGTGTTGTCAATTGCTAATAATTAATAAATCACCGCGTATTTCACTTTCAACGTAATTCTTTTATTAACACTTATTCTTATTCTTAAGCTGTTGCGCATGCAATAATTGCAATAATTGGGTGACTGTTACAGACAGTTGTTAGACGATATAGCGAAGACAACAACCAGAGTGGCGGAGTGACTGTTAGTGTAAGCGATATTTTGACTGTGTACAGCGATTGAGTGCAATGCATGCATACTAGCACTGACCAGAGAACACATAGACTAGACATGTAGAACAAACTTTTTCAACACCGAAAAAATGCGCTGAGCGGACCAGACAACTTCGTATTTGGTCGGCTCGGTCTTCTGAGGCTCAAGCAGTGAAAATAAGGCAAGACAAAATCAGTGTGCTGCGACTGCTGCCACGAAATGCACGCATTACTAAATGAAGCAGGGCTATGCGCTCTTTTTCCCTTACTCACTCTCCCTCTCTTTATGCTCTCTCTCTCTCTCTCTCTCTCTATATGGTCTCTCAAATAGCAGCAGCGCACAGAAATTGAATATTGTTCGCGACGATCCCAGCTCTTTCCTCTTGAGTGAAGGGTATACCGAAATCATAAAAGCATTTGTCACGCTCATGCAAACAAAATGTAAGCGTTTCGATGGTTATTCGTGGGAAGGGTATGAAAGCGTTGATACGCATAAACAATATTATTTCGCGACGGGCAAGTACACACACACTTGTAGTCCCTTGCTACATGTATGAGCATTTGTGACCTGCGTGCGTTACTCTTGCTGCTTGTAGCAATTTTAAAGCCCAGCATTTGCATTTGGTCGGTCTTACGGACTGTCATAACCACTTTAAACAGATGTACTATGTATGAACATACATACATATGTACATAAGTACATTTATATATTATTATTGCTAATCATGTTTATAAATGTGTTTATATCCGTAAATAATTATATATAATTAAAATTATTTTATACACATTTTAACCGAAAAATTATCGTAAAACACTACTAACTTTATTAAATGCTTTGCAATATATGAAATACACATGTCATATTATACTCAAGCTTTACTCATTATTGTCAAAAATTTCTAATTAAGTCATAATGACCCATTTGATAGTCACCCTACGATTCAAATCATACAAAATTTACAAAATAATAAATCCAGAGACAATTAGCTTGCCATCCCATACAAGCATACACATACACAAATGTATGTATGCATGTGCTCACTTCACAAGGCAGACCAACGGCAACTTTTGGGCTGATAATAGACGAAAATACTGAGAAAGAATTGAGTTTCGCGACGCACGCACACAAAAGCACATACACGTAGCAAGGATGTAAATGTGTGTGTGCATGCTCGTCGCGAAAATGTATTCTTTCTGTGCAGAACTTGTGAAGTGAGCACATGCATACATACATTTGTGTATGTGTATGCTTGTATGGGATGGCAAGCTAATTGTCTCTGGATTTAGATTTAGTAGTTTGTAAATTTTGTATGATTTGAATCGTAGGGTGACTATCAAATGGGCCATTATGACTTAATTAGAAATTTTTGACAATAATGAGTAAAGCGTGAGTATAATATGACATGTGTATTTCATATATTGCAAAGCATTTAATAAAGTTAGTAGTGTTTTACGATAATTTTTTCGATTGAAAATGTGTATAAAATAATTTTAATTATATATAATTATTTACGGATATAAACACATTTATAAACATGATTAGCAATAATAATATATAAATGTACTTATGTACATATGTATGTATGTTCATACATACAAATGCTGGGCTTTAAAATTGCTACAAGCAGCAAGAGTAACGCACGCAGGTCACAAATGCTCATACATGTAGCCAGAGACTACAAGTGTGTGTGTACTTGTCCGTCGCGAAATCATATTGTTTATGCGTATCAACGTTTTCATACCCTTCCCACGAATAACCATCGAAACGCTTACATTTTGTTTGCATGAACGTGACGAACGCTTTACAAATATCGGTATACCCTTCACTCAAAAGGAACGAGCTCAGATCGTCGCGAACAATTTTCAATTTTTGTGCGCTGCTGCCATTCGAGAGACCATAGAGAGAGAGCATAAAGAGAGGGAGAGAGTGAGCAAGGGAAAAAGAGCGCATAGCCGCGCTTCATTTGGTAATGCGTGCATTTCGTGGCAGCGCTCGCAGCACACTGATTTTGTCTTGCCTTATTTTCAATGCTTGAGCCTCAAGAGACTGAGCCGAGCAAATACGAAGTTGTGTAGTCTCCTCAGCGCATTTTTTCGCCGGTGAAAAAATTTGTTCTAGATGTCTAGTCTATGTGTTCTCTGGTTAGTGGTACAGGCCTAACGTGCGACTTTGATAGAGAATAAATATGATAAATAATAGGATTATTATCAATATTATATTTTTTAGTGAAAAACTATTTAATAACACACATTTAACAACAATTTTTTTTAAATAATATTAAACAGTTTTTTTTTTAATATTTTAAATAAGAAAAAACAACGAAAATTCACTTAGAACAAGTAAGAAAGCTCTAGTCGAGACTGCTCGACTACGAGATCCCCTGAACCCTTGGAGCAATAGATATTTCAATACTTTTTCGCGATTTTCAGCTTACACAAGAAACACGCACACACACACACACACACACGCACGTACGCACACACAGGTATACATACACACACACGCATACAGACACACATACACACATACACACACACACGCATACAGACACAAACGCATACACACACACACATACACACACACATACACATACAAGCACCCACGCATAAACACGCATGGGCTGCAGTGTGCGCTTACTATGAGAAGTTAATTGTTTAATAACTTTTTTTATGGACGTACGATCTTCACGAAACTTTTAGATTA